AGATGCCAAAAGGGTGAAGCGTTGCTTGATTTCGATTTTGCTTAGTTGACTGCAAATAAAATCCCGAAAAATTGCAAAAATTCCGAGTGCAGAAGTGCAGGAAAAAAACTCTGAGTGTGTGTCTCTTGAAAGAACCTATTGAACCCGCACATAGGTTAACATTTATGGCTGTAGACAAAGTTCACTCGCAATCGCAACACTTTTGTCTGTCATTCGAGCCAATTTTTCAAATGTTTCTGCCCTCACAAAACCTGCCCTAACCCTGGTCCCCGATTCGCTTTTCTGGCCCGCATGACCCGTTGCCATGACAGTGGGAATGAATTGCAAACGCAAAATGTTGTGCGCAGGGTAAACAAATATCTATGTAAGCAAATTGCACACACACACACACACACTCAGATGTACTGTGTGAGACACAAAGATACAAAACTTTAGTTCCCCAGTGCGGCACAGACGAATGACGAAGTACGCGACCTCACTTTTTTTGGCAGGGAATGACAGACCGACTGAGTGACGGGCAGACTGACTGCAGCACTGACTGACAAACAGGTTGAAAACGTTAGTGTCTGCACTGAGCGAAAAGTTCAAAAATATTTATGGTAATTAAAATTGATTTGAAAAGTTTGGATTGTCTCTGTGTGGTCGTAGAGTCAGGTAGAGTCTGCGCTCACTGGCAAGTGTGGATGGTAAAATCTCTTCAAAATTCACAATGTTTCAGAGTGTAGTGTGTGTGTGTGTGTGTGTGTCTGACACACATCATTCCACATCCACACACCCACTATACACCTCCTATGGCAGCCATCCGCCATCCTGCATGTGTGACAAAACTTTCTAATTAAAGTTGTTGCATCCCCGAAAAGTTGTCAAGTTCTCAACGTGTTTGTATTTGGTAAGGGAAAAGTTTTTTGGGTGTCGTCGGCTTTTAGGCGCAATGCGTAATATATTTTTCGTTGGCTTGGCTGGTGCGCGGTTCCGATTATGCAGGCAAACTGAAGTCTGAAACTGAATTTTAATTAGGTATCTGGGCAATTAGGCAAGTGTTAGTGTCATAGCACCAATTAGAAGGTCAAAATGTTTGGTCCTTATAGAATTTTAACGCACACTTAAGGGCAGTTGTCTTCTTTGTTAGATTTTTTACTTAACTGCAATGAAAATAAATAAAACTAATGTAATTTGTACTAACCGAAAAATATCTTTGACTCAAGAAGACCCTTTTGCTCAAGCAACAAAGCATCAAAACCAAATAAAAGTAACTTATTTACTTAAAACCAAATTAATTTCTGCATTGGACCACAAAGACGTTGAGCGTTGATGGTTCGAATCGAAACAAAACTTGGCCAACTTTGCCAGTGCGCATTTCTGAATGAAAATAGAAGACAACAACAGCGCCAAAAAACTATCCGTTGGTTTGCTCTTAAGTTTGCAATATTTTTTAAGTTTCCCATTCAAATTGAATTAAATAATATGCACTCGACTCGCAAACAGAACTTTCCCTCTGAACACAGAACTTTCGCTGGGGCTGGGGCTGGGGTTTGGCTCGAAAGGGAAAGGCACAGAGGGTGAGAGAGAGACAGAGGGAGAACGGGTAACCCAAATAAGGCAGAAAGGAATCTTAGCCATCTCTCGCTTTCCGCACACTGCAACTGGAAACAACTTTCATAATTCATTTCTGCCTGAGTGTAACAATTTTTGCACTTTATGACTTTCGAGTGCGCGCTGTGCGAGTGCCTTGAGTTTGACTTGACTTTCGGGGCACTGCAAATCATGCAACTGCAACAGCACAGCGGGACCAGGAACTCAAGTCAGAGAGAGAGAGAGCCAGTACCAGAACCAGAACCAAGAACAAGACCGAGAGAACTTCAAGTTGGAAACATTTTTGGGGTGCATCCTCCATTCCCTCTTTCTCTCTCTCTCTTGCTACTCCGCCCCATGATTTTTTGTGCTAATTACAGGGGAAGCGAGGCTGATGGACGGCGCACTCCACTTGGCAACAGCCGAAAACAAACTTGCGGCCAAGAACAACAAACAGGCAACCAGAAAGCGACGATAACCATAAAGGCCAACAGAACAACAGCAGCAGCAGCAACAACAGCAACAACAACAACTACAAAAGAGAAGCAGGCGAAAAACAAAGAGTCAACGACAAGCCAAAAGGCAAGGCCAGGCCAGGGCAGGGCAGGCCAGAAGCATGACCAGGAAGTTGTAAACGGCATTCAGGCAGGCAACCAGGGAGTCAGGGAGCCAGGGACACCAGCTCCACAGAGTAAAAGAGACGGTACTGGGATCGACTCCAAGGCAAAAGGCAAGGCAGAGGCAAGACAAAGCCCAACCGGCAGATTCCGTGAGCCGTGGGGCCAAAACAGACTGGCAGGCAAAACGACCTCGAGCTGCTGCTGGCCAAAAGTGCTAGTACATGTTCTGGCCCAAGCAGGTAGGAAGTCCGGTTTGGATTCCTTTAAGTTCTATCTCTGTCTCTCCTTCTCTCTCTCTCTCTCTCTCTTTCTGAGTGTACACAACACAGCACTTGTTTGCTTGTGAAGTGCCGGCTTGAAACAACAAGTAGCTTACTCCCTCTAAAAATATACCAGCTCAAAGGTAAAGACTCTCTGAGATCATTTACTGTGGATGCCCTTGAAATTCGCTTCCTCAAGTGCGCCCCCAAGGCAAGGCAAAGGACTTTCATTGCTCAAACTCCCACAAAGTTTCATTAATTATGCCAACAGCATAATGCCAAAGGCTTGAATTGATTTAGACAGGGCTTTCATTTACATGCTGTCGGTGAGGAATGATTTGTGGTGCTTTCACCGCCGATGACAGTTGGAAATAACCGCAATTTATGAAATATTTAAATCAATTTTTGTAGAAGATGCGCAGACACACATCTTCACATCGACCCATCTGTTATTTTGTTGAAATTTTCATTGTTTTTGTGGTAAAGTTTGAGGTTTCGATTTCGTTTCGATTTCATTCATACATAAACATTGTTTATGTCACGCATTGACACGCGTCGTCCTTCTTCGTAAAACAACAAAAATTTTCGATTTATATGCCACAGCACAGTAGCAGCAGCAGCAGGGGCAGCAGCAGCAGGAACAGCAGCAGTGGCAGCAGCAGTCTCATACAATGCTCGGGTCAGAGGCCTCACATAAAGACAATTGAATGTACGCGACTGGCCCCAAAACAGTTCATACTTCTCTTTCTTCTCCTGCTGCAGACGGCATTCATCTGGTAGCCAGCATTTCCCTTATCGCATACACACTCCCCCACACATAAATATAAATAAATACATATAAATAAATAAGAGGCCATGGAGAAGTAGAGCGGGGATATGGAGTCGGAATATCGAGTCGTGTGTATAGCACAATCGAAAACAATCACAATGCCACAGGAGCAAATAAAAAAAGGTAGAGAGTGAGACCGAGAGAGAGAGAGAGAGAACGAGAAAGGATACGCAATGGCAATTTGTGGGTAAGTGAAACACTTGAAGCCATTCAGCCGTTTTGGGTTGGCATCAATAATTTCCATGTTAATGCATTTGGGTGTACGTGAATTTTCAATAAACCAAACAATACAATAATTAACGTGGAACCCATGGGGGAAACCTCTACATATAAGTATTTAGCAACTGATTAATTATATTTCGAATGCGTAGCGAATCTTTAAATCTCTAAATAAAGACCGCTTAAGCGCACTACAATAGACGATTGAAATCTACTGAAAAATGTATCCACTTAACTAGCCAAACACTTTGGCTAACACAACACAGCCAAACAAATTAAAACTATTTAGGTATTTGCCAGTTCTTATCAAAAAATACCACACGAATCTTGACACAGGGCTGCTGAGCAATTAATCTCAAAGCACACAAAATCCGAACAAAATACAAAACATATTAAATCCGGTTGGCATGGCTGTGTGGCTCCTAATGCTGTTCATAATTTATGTGCCTATGCAGTAAGTCTTTACACACACACACACAGAAAAATCAACGCTCATATAATTTGCATAAATTGAAGATGTATCAAATTGAAATTGAGGTAATAAACCCAGCGACTGGGACTTGAGTTTGAGCTTTGATGGCAATCTGGCACTGGTATCGAACTGGAGAACTGGAGTAATTGGCACTAATTTGCTTTCACTCCATTAAATGAGTGCCTGCCTACCCACAATCTAGATGCAAATGAGGGCGTTCCACTTGATAGATACAAAAGAATACATACAGGTTCCTTCCTCCTGCTGCTCTGCATTCCATTTAAATCAATTAAGACATGGAAATAAAATCAATCTTTGGCTATACTCGTGCACACCCACCCGCCCAGTATAGTATGTATGAGGAAGTGACAAAACCTGCTGCTACGTTTTTTTTTGTTAAACCCAAATTTATGCAAACTGCTGACAAAATGTTCAAAATTACATCCGCTCGTCCCCCCACCCAAAAAAAAAACGGAATGAAACACCTGTGAGTATGTGACATCCCGCGCATCTTATCACCAGAACCAGAGACGACCGTGAACCAAGTGGCAAGAGTTCAGCGCGAAATTGCCTCAGGTAATCAGCTGTTTTTCATGCTGAAACTCAAGACTAAGCTATGCCATTTTCTGACGCTGATGCCTGCATTCTTGATATATACAAAATGTTGACGGAGCAACTTAATTGACCAGACACTCGGAGCAGACAACTCTCTGGCTGGCACATCTTCGGATTGGGAGCTGAAAGAAACGTCTCTCGAAATAATACAAATAAAATGCCCCGTTGCTGGACAGCGCCGCTTAATCCGGTTATTAAACTTTACACTGTCCGACCAGGTTGTGTGTGTAAGTTCCCCTCTACCCTCATTTCACATTTTATTTTGTATTATTTTGAGAATTGGAATGGTTTTTCAGCGACTATAAAAATGCTGCGCATGCTCAGCGACGCTTTTAGTTCATTCAAAAATTTCAGACCGTGCGGTTGGGACTGGAATAAACCCATCCATATATACGATATTATAACTAGCAGACATGTCTCTAAAATACGTAAGTTTCGAATGGGTTGGCATGGAATGCTGTTGCATTAATTAGACAGTTCTAAATTGGCTGCAGCCATAAATGAAAGTGTTTTCGGTTAGGTTTCTGGTCTTTCTGGATATTTATTTAAATGATGCAGCAAATTTGTTCTAATTAAGAATTTGCATACGTATAAATTAGTGACAATATCCAGTTTGAGCAAACACAAAATCATTTATCGTGACGTAAAAGATTATGCAATTTTTGATTCTGACGGGCAGGAAAAAATCAAATATTTACATATTAATATCATTTGCTTGGTGAATTAAAATAGATTTTGAAATAAATCAGCTATTAAATATTTATTAAAGATAAACTCGTGTGTGTGTGTGTGTATGTGTGTGTGTGGTGACATCAACCATTGTATTTACATAGACATATTTATGGCTAAATAAATTGCTTTATTATCTGAGGTGTGAATCTGCGAACCATGAGCATAAGATGACAGATAACTTCGTTCTTTCTTTTCAACGACCAAAAATTTGCATACATTTCAAGCTCGATTAGTTTCATTATATTGGATATGTTAATCCGGGTCTAATGACCTTTCCCCCAACACAAAGGGAAAGGCAGCTTGCTTCCGTTAGAATGGGCCATAAAATATGTCTATCCAGTTTCCAAAAAGAAAAAAGACATCAAACAATGCAAGGTTTTTGCCATTTTTGGAGGTCGAAACCGAATCAGTTTGAAATGCCTTTTGCAGCGCCCACACTTCCAGAGTTAAATTTGTAGCCAAATTTTCAAACTGGAACAAATCTATTTGGAGTGGCTGTGACCAAAGTCAAACAATGGGTCCATAACTTAGAAGTATTTTAGCAAATCCAAACTGGATCACTGCACAAGGCTTTTGCATAATTTGAACTAATTTTCGCACTGATTTTCCAGCTATTAATCGCATCTGCATTGCTGATCGGCGTGTGCCTTGGGGATGTGTCGGAAATAAGCGACCAGAAAATCGATCTGCCATTCAATGACTTATTGCCGCCACTGCTGGATGAATCAACCACAAGCTCAACCACAAGCACCAGCACCACAACATCGACCACAACTACAGTGGCACCTCCGCCGCCAACTGCTGCCATAACGAAACCCACAAAGAAATCGTATTACCAGAAGCCCGCTCCACTCAACAAGGAGGATAAATCGAAGCCCAGCTCTGGCAAGCAGGCCATACAGCTGCTCTCGCTGGACCTGCTGCCACCCTTCGAGGATGAGGCCGAGCCGGAGGAATCAAAGCCCCAAGAAGTAGCCAAAGTAGTGGCCGTAAGTGAGCCAAAACCTGTGGCCAAACTGGCTCCCGCTTTTCCACGGGCAGTACCGAGGCCCCAGCATGTGGCCAAAGTCGCCCCTCAACAGGCAGCTCTGAAGCCACAGTATGCACGCATTGCCTCCCCGGCGATACATCCCACACAGACCTCCATTGGGGGTGGTGGCGGCTATACCTCTCGATTCTCAAACTACTTCCTAACGAGCACCCCGCGACCACGACGCGGACCCCTGCCCACACTGACGCCCTTTCCGCGCCACATCAAGAAGTAGAAATCAATTTAATTAATTTAGATAAGAACTTAATCAAAAGCAAAGTCAACAACAAACATAAAATTAATTAAACACAACACACAAACTGAGCGAAAAACAAAGTGAATGAGTGGAAAATATTCTGTATTATTTATAAGCGACAGTTTTAAGCGCTACAAGTAAATTATGCAACTCTGAAAATATACATAAATTAGAAAAACAAAACAGGCGATCGAATTTTGAATAATGGCTGATGAGGCATATTTAGTGGAATGGAAAACATTTAATATCGATCGCAAAAAGTACATTTTAGGGCAAAATATGTGAATGGGAAAGAGCTGTCATCTCCGGACACATTTTATGAAGGTCAAATTTCAAAGGAAAATGGAGCAGAGAGCTGTCAAGCAGTTGACAGCTACATTTCAAAATGTGTGATATGTAAGGCAAGGTGTCAGCCTTCCTCAGCACAAGTATCTTGTTCGCAATTACTTATGTCTAGCCTGTGTAACCGCTCTACCTCTTTGTAGTTTATACTGGCAGCACACTGGCTGACACACTCGAATGTATACCACAAAAGCGGAAAGCAAATTCATCAACGGCATTTAATTAATTGCCAGCAACGTGCAAATAACTTGGCGCCACCGAAACTGAAACCGAAACTGAATCTGACACTGAAAGCCGCTGTCAGCTGCCAAATAGCTACAAACGCTCTTAGCCTCCGGCTAATATACATACGGGTATTATGGCGCCTACCCTCACCCAATATACCGAATCCCAAAGCCGTACCGAACCCTCTCTCTCTCTCGGCCGCGTCTCTTGACAGTCGTTCAACCTGCTAAATGCTAATTATGGCCCTCGTCGACTTGGCGTTGATGATGTTGCCGGCAGAAATTTGTCGCATTCGAATAGCAGCGCGCCCATTCCATTCCCGGCTACCGGACAAGCCCTGTTGAGCCTGTTGTTGCAGTGGTAATCGCATAGCATGGACGATCTAATCAAATCAAATCATTGCCATACCGATTAGCCATATTTATGGGTCCCGTTTGTCACTCGACATTGATATTGTTTCAGTGTCTGTCCATTTAACCGCGTTAATTACACGGCTGATTAACATTAATGCGTTTGCCCGTGGAGGGCATGGTGATGCCCCTGCCACTGGCGATCTTGATGCAACAGCTGATGCAAATTGATATCTGTCGAATGGCAGATGCGTAACAAACATTTTTCATTGATTAATGATATTAACATAAGTTTAAAAAGCCAAATTAATGAATGCTTTTGATAAATGTTTTATGCATTTATTTGTTTGAAAGGGAAGGGGCACATTCCCTTGATATATCTCAGCTCAGTTTTGATTACACAATTTCATGTTTTATTACTGTTTGTTAAACGAAAAATAATAAGCAAATGGCATTAACTTTGGAGAGATCGGTTTATTGTTTGTTCAAATTAAATATGGAACTCATATATAACTCATGTTTATGCATGGAAGATGGAAATATTCTTAGTGTTTATTTTTGCCATGCAAAATTAAAAGAATAAATCATAAATTCATCAACTATCCCACATTGAAATGTTCAAAATTCATACAAAAATCACATACATATTTTCATTTATTTATGATTTCATTTCAGATACGTTGCTGCGTAACTTTTCAATTAAACTGTCCAACAGGCAAGCAAAAATAGTATCCAAAAATTGGTTCTTCCCAATTAAGTGTGAAATGTATAAAACGCATTTTCAATTGCCATGACAACTTTATAAGCCGATTCGCCTGCAATGCTAACTCGTACTTTTGAAGCTGAAACTAAAACCGAAGCCCCTCAATGTCATGCCGTGACAAAATCATAGCGATTTAATGCGCTTCAACTAATTACTGCCAGTGGCAACAATCTGGCTGATACTCGTACTCGTAGTAGTCGGTAGTCCGTCCCCTGGCAGCTGTGGCCGGGAGCTGCCAAGCCGAGCAACGATTTAAATGACACTAAGCGATGCCGAAAGGCGATTCGAATGATGGGAATTTCCAACGCCAGAACGAAGTCTGTGTACGCTTAATGAGCTCTTAATGGTATGCTAATGGTAATCCAATAAAGGGGCGGCGGTCTGTCAGTTGGTTTTGATTTAACCCTATCTTACCAAATCCAACCTCAAGTCAAACTTATCGTATATCACACATTTTAATTGGATTTAAATTGGTTTGAACTGTTGATAATCCAATTTCGAAGCAGCTGTGCGTACGGTTAATGAGATTTGAATGGATATTATGATTAACATAATTCGCTCATTTGTTATACTGAAAGAAAAAAATTTCTTACGCGCAGGTTCTTATATCAAAATGCTGTATGCTTGATTAGTTTCGAATGGAAAATCCATTTGAAGAGAGACTTTTAAGATAGTTTTTCCTCTCCTGTCCCAATCATTCGTTTGCATTATTAATCACAAATTCTAAACCAAAGTTTTCATATGCCTCTCGAAAGGGTATCGGCCTGATGCGCTCTCATTAAAAAAGTTTTGCGTCTGATGCGTGGAAAGCCATTAGATGTTGGCCCTGGCATTGGAGGGAGCTTTCCACACTGCCTCCCACATTCCCCTACCGCACACACACACACACAAACACACACACATATGCATGAGTCTCATGATTGTCTCTGTGTGTGTCTGTATGTGTGGATATCGTGGCAGCATTAAAAATCGCTTTTAACAAATGGTGCCATAAGCTCTTAGGCAAACTTTTAATGTGCACACATACTCGCACATATAGTGGGGTATCGTTTGGTGTTGGGCGGGGGTGTAGAGAAAGATTTATGTGGCCAACGCTGCGTATGAGCGTTGCAAAGTATTTTCAACTTTAACACGCAGCCTGGAAGAGTGGCCTCATATTTCCCCTGCACACCGCACCCCAAACCCCACTGCATGCTCGTAGCAGAAGAAAAGTATTTAGATATATTAAAAGTGTCTAGACATGGCCACATTAAAACAAACAATAAACCATTCACATAATAATAATACAAGAGAGTAGAAATAACAACTAAATTAAAATATATCCCCCATGTTCGAGTGTTCGAGTGTCCGAATGAGGTTCTTGGAGTGTTCGAATGGAGTTCTTTGAGTGTCCGAGTAGGTTATTTTCATGGTTAATAAGATCGCAATGATATGGCCAACATTTATATTCAACTGGATGCAAATGAGTGTCAAGCAGATACCCATTTAACAATCATTTTTTACGCCAATTTAATTAAATTTTCCTACTTGCTGCCACGGTATGTTAATTTTATTTTCGAACCTCAAAGCATGAGCGAGACAGAGAGCGAAGAAAGACGATTTTCACTTTTCGCAGCTGTCACTGAATGAATTAATGACCTCAAGTGGATGGTCGAAAGGACAATAACTTCCTGCCACAATACGGCTGCTGCTGCTTCTCCTGCTGCTGCGTACGTACTGCTGTAAATGTTTGCGCAAATTTTAAATTGATAGTAAATATTAAAGTTTGCTTGCAGATTCATGGCGCCCGTGCAGCTGCTGGATCCTGCTGGGTCCTGGTATCCTGCTTTAAATGCACTTTTGGCGCCAACTTTTTTCATTTTGGGCTCCGGCATACAATAATAATTTTTAATATGGCCATGTTGCAGGCCCGTCAACCAAGAGGGATGTGAAATGTGGTATATGTGTGGACGTTGATGAGGTTATCGTGCAGCTGGCCACCCCCATATCCCTTTAATTACACTTTACCATCAGAGTAACGAATCATGGCTTTGTATATTTTTGCAGGGTATGGCCAAATTTACATAAAGGGCACAGCACACCCACCGATTGAACTATCGATTGTCGAATCAATGTACCGTCAACGTTGCCAACGTTTCTCTGGCTCAGAGCCATAGATGTTTCACCCAACCGTTAATGCCTCGCTTCAGTTACAATAACGGAAATGAGTTTTAATGTGGAAATAATTGCATGTCATTGACGTTGACAACAGCAACATCCACACACACACACATATACCCACACAGAAACAGCGAGACAGATATTCGTACTCGTACACAAACCAACAAACAAATGTGAGAAATGTTGATATACAATAATATCATTAAATTTCATTTCATATTTGCTCTCTGATGAATGGCAGGCAGTTTCAGTTGCTTCTGCCACTGCCACTACCACAGATACTCTGTATCTGTTTCTGTGCCTGTATCTTCTTATGAATTGATTGAAATCGAAATGCAAAACCTTGACTCACTTCTGGCATTTCTTTTGATTCATAACATTTTTTGGCTTTAATTGAAAAGTGAAATCCACAAGTCCATTCAATTATAAATATTTTTTTCTTTTTATCCTCTGATTTCTTTTGCTTTTTTGTGCCTTGATTTTGGTATTTGCAATTAAATGTTGATGGGGAAATTGAGAACACATTTGTATGTAAGATATCTGGTGCCACTAGAAAGTCTTAATATATACACAAGAAAATTTTTAAAATATCTTAGCAGAAATGCATTACATAAATTCTGGAGCTGTCCAAAAATGTATTTCCATTAAAAAATCACAAAATTCTTTGAAATTTATAGGGGTTTAAATAATGCAAAGTTCGTACATCAGATTATTATTTTCCACTTTTGAATTGAACAAATTTCTCAATTATATTTCTGTAAATATTTTTGTAGCTTTTACTGTACATGCAGCAAAAGAAAATATAAATAATCCAAATCTGTGCCAGCTGCTGCTCCACTCAACCACTTCACTCTGCTCTCTCATATCTCTACAGAATATTTTTACTTTATCTTTATTTGTACTGGAAAATTCAAAATTCAAATGTGAAGAGCAAAAAAACAAATCATTTCTTATTCGTTTAATGTTTCCAGACAAAATGGAACTACGCATGAATAATGAATACTGAGCATCCGTCCATCATAAACTTTGATTACAATTTGTATCGGGCCTATGGACCAAGCCGACAAACAAATTGAAGAAAATGACAAAATAGATTATCACTGGAAAAACAAGAAAATGAAAATTGGACAAAAATCAACGCCCAGCACGTCCCAGCAACCAAAAAATGAGTTGAGTCTGGAGTCGGAAAGATAGAATAGAAAAGAATCCAGCAAACAAATACAGTAATTGACCGGAGGAACAGATATATTTGACATTAAAATAAATAATTCATTTCATTCAACGACAAAACCGTGTAAATTCGCAGAGTC